TTCCTAAACGAAATCGATCAAACTCAAATCTGGTGAAGAAGAAAATGAGGTTTTCTAAAAGTTTTGTTGTAAAAGTGTTATCACGTGATAGAACACATGTGTTTTCCTGCTTATTTATAATCAAGTTAGTATAGCAAACTGGCTATGGGATGGTATAAACATAATGAGGTGAAAGCTTTGTCTAAAATAGCAAATCCTCTAAACTGCTCAGAATTGAAACTTATTGCAAAGTACTGTGGGTAATTATTAAACGAAAGTTAAAAAAAAAACTATGAGTTGTTAAAGATTTAAAAATATTTTTTAAAAAGCATCAAATAGTTATGATTTTTATTCTGTGCTCAAGCACAAAACAACAATTATAACAATTTTTTTTTTTTTAATTATTGGTTACAAAAAATTTTATTAGATACCCTAAATAATAGTAAATAGGAATGAATTGAATTCTTTGAAATATTTTATTTTATTATACTAATAAATTTAAATTAATAATTAGTTCTAAATAAAAGTTGATGAGTACCTTTAGGAAAAAAAAATAGGAAAATGTTTATAGGAAAAAAATGAAATTAGTGAAAAATTAAAATAATAATTTGATATGTTTGTAACTGTAAAAAGTTTTAAAACATAAAATTTTTTAAAATAGCTAATGTTGTGTATTAAGGTAGATTGAATGTATACTAACAAAAAATATAAAAAACATGAAAAGCTGTTTTATATGTATATTTTATTTCATAATAAAGTTTGAATGTCTTGAGATATTATCTGTTTTTAATGTTATTTTTTATTAATATAACTAAATGACTTAACTTAAAAGTGAAGTTATCGTAATGCTTTGTTTTTTTTGTTTTTTTTTTTTTTTTTTTTTCAAAAATCTGAAAAAGTCTTATACTTAAACTACAAACTTTCGTCGACATAATTTATATAAACGTAATTCTACGAAATCTTGTCAAAAACTTAACCTTGTTAAAAATTATTTTAAAAACGAATTGTTAATAAAACTCCATTATAGACTAATGGAAAACATTGGTTAAACATATTATTTCAAATATTAGCTAAACTAAAAAAATTGATTTTATAAATACAAATACGTAAATTATAATGTTCAAAAGTCTATTATATAGTATTATGGATTTACTTTTATAATGAGTTTTAATACAAGTGTGTTATAAATGTTTTTTTTATATCTTTTCAGGTTTTGGTTTAAGATCGTATTAGAATCAAGTTTTGAATAGCTGTACTGAAACAAGATAAGTTTTTATTAAAATATTTTTTATCGTTATTTTTATAGTTTTTTATCTTTTAACTATACTACCTTTTTATTTTAGCTTTCCTACTGTTGACATATGGTTTTAATTTAGTAAATTTTTATGTTTTAAAATTTACTTTATTGATCATAAGATAACAGTTTAGAAAAATAAATTTAACACAATTTGGGTAAGAAATTAGCTTTTATCATAACAAATCCTTTTACTGTAAATTCTTATTCTTGTCCTAGTTTACATTATATGTCAAATGTTAGTAATGATAATATTTGCTATCACTTGCGAATAGCTTTGTGTTAAACATTTGTGTTGGATTCATAAAATTAGTGTATCATTATTAACTGATTTTTGATATAAAGGTCGTTCATTGCTAATAAAGAATGGTTGTTGTATTATTTTGCATAAAATATATTAATATGTATACAAAAATTGATATGTTTATAAAAACTATAATCTTTACCTGATTTTGCTTTAGCTTCATTTCATCAATATTATGCTGAACTGTAACAATAAATTATAACCGCTTTCGCAAGTTATGTAGTTTATGAATATTCTCAATAATTTATGAATTGTCTCAATAATTTATGAATCGTCTCAATAATTTATAAATAGTCTCAATATTTGATACTAAAATTTAAAATACTTTACTACAAATTACTAGTTTGTTTTACTTTGACACAACAAAATTAGTTTTTGTTATGACAAATTTTTAAGCATTGTATTAAATGGACAAAAAATGACTAAAGTGAAGATTATTTCTATATGTTTCCATGCCTATGCAACAACTATGCATATATATAACAACTATAGAACTGCTAGTTGGCATCCAATACCATATAACTTGGTGTCCAATACCCATTTGAACCAAGGGTCCACCAAGCAACTTTCCGGTTATCCTTTTGGGCCAGTCCGCGAAATAAAAAATAAAAGTCTTGAATTGTGCACAATATGGTGACAGTAAAGATATTTTCAAGACAGTTGTGCGACTTTATAAAAGCATGAAGTCTTTCGACAATTCAGCTAATAAACATGGATTGAGTAAATGGATAAACATCAGATATTTTATTATTAAAAACATTAATGCTAACAAAATCTCTTTACAAGTTTTGGCTATTTATGCAGACAATTCGATACAAATTTCCGAAGTATAAAATGAATCGTTATAACAATAAATAGATTATAGTCAAGCTAAACCTTGGAACTTTTTTTTTTTTTTTTCCTACGCAATAAACAACTACTTT